AAAAATTGGTGTTAAAAATTTTATATACAAACTTATAAAAACTTAGAAAATTTTAAAAAACATAATAAAAATATATAGTAGGTGCAAAACCACCATAGGTGTGTTTTATAATAATTGAAAAAAGATTACTGCTTTTTCTGTAGTTTATCAAGCCATGGAAGAAAATCTATATATCAAACAAGATATTTTAAGAAACATAGTCAACGATGCTGTTAGTTTAGCAAAATATAAATATTCTTGAGATATGAGAGCACAAGAAAGACTCCAAGCAGTTTTTTTGCAGGTTAATATACTTTATAAAAATAAGTTTTTAGTATCATATGATGATTAGCGTATTTCTGATATAGCAAGAACAAATTTTTGGATTTGTGAAGCTTTAGCCAATAAGAATATCCTATTATTAGATTCAACTCCATGAAGCGAGAATAATAAATCTGGGCACTCGATATCTGCTAGTACTAGATTCAACTTCAAGGACATATGGGGGTGCTCTGGCTTTAGTCCCACAAATTTGAAAGTCTATTTGTAGAAGACGGAGTTGTATACAATGTGTAGGCCACACAGAGATACAACTTCGTTATAACATTCTGATAACATGAGCTTGTAATATCAAAATTTTATTTTGTTTTTACTATGACTATTGTATATTTTTTCTGTACTAGTTTGCTATTGCTTTCGAAGGCATTTGCAGTATTTGTGATATAGAGATAGAACTCTTAGCGATAAAGAGATTAGAGATAATATAGGGGATTTGAGGAAGAAACTTTCGGTATTTTTGATAAGATACTTCATTTCTAGCTTATTATAAAGTAAAAATTTTATACATTCTTGTCTTATAGAGAAGCAACTTTATACATAGCAAAGGATTATAGCAAGGTTTAAAAGATATATCTATTTCTGACTTGACATGACATGATCCAATCACCAGTCACATAATTAGTGACAGATCAGATTTGGTAAAAGATTTGAAAAAAACCAAACTATCTGCATATAAATCTTTTATGAAGCCATTACAGAATATGAAACCTGTCATATCAAAGATAATTTAAGAAAAATATAATAAGTTTGTGGAAAATTTTAGCATTAAGATTTTAGATAAGTTACTACAAAAGCTCTTTTATAACAAAACTTAGAAGAAACCAGAAGAAGTTCTAGTAGAGATTACCAAAGCAATACTTAATACCCTGTAAGCAATTCTCATTGTAGAATTGTTATATTGACTACTTGTATTAAGAAAATCTTTATCTTAAAGTAATAATGTGTGGAGAAACCTAGCTTTTTGTCCTAAATTCAAAAAGCAACAAAGTGAAGAAACTTACGTGATAGATATTATAGTTTCTTTACTTTAGGCTACATTGAAAGAGCTCTTAGTTAGAAAAATCGCCTTGCTTAGCATGTAAGTTTCTGTTATATTGTTAGACTATATGCTAGTAATAAACTTAAATTTATTTTTATTTAGTGCAAAGTGACAAAATGTAGCTAGTGCCAACAGAAAAGAAGATAGAAAACAGGATAAAAGATCTGATATTATGTTTATCAAAGAGTGTGAAGAAAAATTATATAAACTCATCTTTGTGAAATCTTCACATATAGTCTGCACTAAGATCAAAGAAGAGAATGATAATGCAAAGCTCTGGAGGGAAATAAATGACGAAATAACCTGGGTTCATAAAGGATACAAACCAGATAAAAATGAGTTTGAAATTTTTGGAATTCAAATTGCTAGAAAAATAATACATCTGAATGTTCTAATTAAGAATACAGATAAAATTTATCATCTTTACCATTTGTGCTTAATAGAAATTCCCTTACAGCCAACTGATGAAGATGATGTGTTTCAGTTTGTAGGTGCATTATTACTTTTACGAAATATTATAATTGTTAATATTTTTATGTTGTTTAATGTGTCAAAAACTAAATCAGAACAACTTAAAAAATGAAAAGGCCACACAGTATATTCAGATTCAGAATAATTAGATTTATTTTTTTAGAATATATTCTGATTGTTATTACAGTCAGAAATTTTTCTATATTTGGATAATATTAATCACACCTTTTATGGTATAGGATCATTGATCAGATGATTCTAGAATCACATGTTAATTAGCAAATCAAATCAATGCTAATGATATGATATAAGTATAATAGGTTACATAATACAATACATATCTGATATGGGCACTTTGCAGTACGAAGAAAAAGCCTAAATGCTCTATATATTATATATAGCATTTAGGCTTTTTCTACTGCAAAGTGCCTATGTTGCATGACTTGTAATTATGCATTAACTAATTTTATTGATCAAAAGTTGGCAGATATATATGTAGAATATACAGGCTTGGCTATTGTTATAAATATAGGATTTGCGTTAAAAGGAAAATAAGAAAGCCTTTATTCATTATTAAAAATCAGCAGATATAGATAATTCTAATGAAGTAAATATTTATATTCTTAATTGAGAACTCGAATTGCTTAATTATATCGATTAATGATCTTTATGTGCACAAATTGGGAATAATTAATATGAACAAAAAGATTTGAAGGACATCAGGTAATGGTAATAAGTATTTTATATTTTTGGTTTGTGAATATGATTTGCTGATTTTAATTATATCGATTAATAATCTTTAGCGAATGAAAAGATTTGAAGAGCATCATGTAAAGGTAAATAAAATTATGTTCTTGGTTGTGAACTTGATTTGCTGATTTTAGTTTCATTGATTATCCAGATGAAAATATTTGAAGAGAATCATGTAAAAGTAAACAAATATTTATGTGAACCTATTTGTTGATATTAATTTTATTGATTAATGAATAGTATTAATACGAATAAAATAATTCAAAGAGCACTATGCAATGATAAATAAGTATTCATCTTGGTTTGTGAACTTATATTCATCTTGGTTTGTAAACTTATTTGCTGATTCTAACTTCAAATATTTATACTTACAAATGCAATAGTAATAAGTATTTATATTTTTTATACTTACAAGCTAAACGTACAATATATAATCTGGTTAGAATATTAGATAAGGGTTAAGGTAGAAATGTATATTAGGGTAAGGGTTAGAATGAAAATGTATATTAGGGTAAAGTTTAAGCAGAAATGTATATTAGGATAAAAGTCAGAATGAAAATGTATGTTGTTAGAGTAAAGATTAAGGTGGAAATATGTGTTAGAGTAATGGTTAAAACGAAAATGCATATTAGAGTAAGGGTTAATATAGAATCATAAATTAGGGTAAGGTATAAAAATATTTGTTAGAGTGAAGGTTAGTAATTAGTCATATGTAATAAGTTTTACCTAATATAAATTTTAATAATATATATGTGATTAAAAATCTAATATTTAATGTAATTTCATCATATTAAAATTTAAGATCTCGAAAGGGTTTATGTTTCATAATGATACTTATTTTAAAGTTCGGTAACATAGATCTTGCTATTTATTCAGTTTATTTATTAATTAATCTTAATCATCGTGTTTATTAACTAATTTCTAACTATCGATATTTATACAATTTTGTTGTTTTTTATACAGTTATATCAAAATTCATCTGAACTTATGCGTTGCTTGGCTAATTCAGTATAACATTTAGGAGTTCTAGGATCGAATTTAGGCTATATTCATGATCTTTACCCAGTAGACATAACTGATATGATAATTCTAAAACTATAAGCTTTGACCTGACAAAACCTCTGAAGCAACCCATTCTAATATTTTACTATCTCAGAGTACCCTATTGAATTTGAAAAAATACATAAAAAAATAATATATATATGTTAAGTTTTCATGACTTACGCTCTTTTCATGCAAGTGAAGATCCTTAAACCTTAGTATACCAAACTTACCAGTATAAAAATATAATATCTTAAAAGTATTCAAGTGTAAAAAAAAAAAAAAAGTATATACAGTTGACTTTGACTATAACGAACCTCCGTATAATGAATTTTGAATATAACGAACTCAACAATTTAAAATTCAATAGTAGTTTAGTATAGAAAGTGCTATAGGTTTTTAAGAAAACATAGTAATTTTCTATAACGAACTTTTTTTTTTCAAAACCATTAGTTCATTATATAAAGAGTTGAACTTTTGTAAATTGTTACAATTTTATGCTAGTAGAAAATTTTGAAACTTGATATACGAAATCCACAAGTACAAAGCACAATGCTGTAATAAGATCTATAACATTATAAAGACAAAATATTTATAAGCTGTTAAAATATATACTGTATATATATGTATATTATAAAAAAGAGCTACATAGTAACAAAAGCATAGAAATTCAACAAACGAAGTGGTATGTGTTTAAAAATTACCTTTTTTCATGTCTTATTTACTTCACTCAAAAAAATTGATTATAACTGATTTTTTGTTGATTATGAAACCTTGGGTCTTTTTCTTTTCACGTATATAGTCATTAATAATAGATAGATATCGTAAAAAAATCAAAAATCTCTAACAAAAAAGTATGACTATGAACTAATAAAAATCTGTAGATTATTCTAAAATCGATCTAGAATACAATCTGTTATACGAAATATAGATTTTGATTGTATATTAATTTTTAGTATAGGGATAATACTTGATATAATTTTTAAACAAAATTGTCTTAATACGAAAGTGATCTTTTTTGATTCTGAATTTTTTTAAATATAAGATCTAAAAATAGAATCAGATATTCCATTGTCACATGATATAGATTGTTGAAGTTTATTTTTATTGATCATCTATTATCTCTTTTTTTTATTATTTTAGGTCCTGACTTTCTGCTAGAGCATTAGCATTAGTTGTTATCACAAATACTATTACTGTTTTAGGCTACTTTAGATTCTTTTGAGTTTTGTGATCTTCACTTCTTGTTTTATCACTATCTCAGGTTTTCTGTTGCTGTCTTAGGCTTTTTCTGGTCCTTAATTTTTGCTTTAGGCTAATTGATTCTTGCCGCTTTGGTTCTAATTTTTAGATTTTCTCTTTTTGCTTTGAGTTTTTGTTTTTAAATCAGGTTCTTTGATCTTTCAGGTCTTCAAAAAGTTTTTTGATCTCTACTTCAGATTCTATCACTACCCTGGGTTTTTGATCTTTGCTTAGGTTTTTTGATCTTTGATCAGGTTCTTTGATCTTATCTCAGATTTTTCAATCTTTGCCTCAGGTTCCTCGATCTTTGCCTTAGGTTCTTGATTTTTGCTCTAAATTCTTTCATTGTTTCAGGTTCTTTGTTATTTATTATTTTTGCTTTAAGTTTTTTTATTGTTGCTTTGAGTTTCTCGATCTCTGCTTCAGTTCTCTGTTACTATTTGAGTTTTTGATCACTAAATCAGGCTTTTTATTTTTATTTTTTATTTTTTTTTTAGATTTTCTATAACTGTTTTGGGTTCTTCGATCTTTGCTTTAGATTTTTTGTTACTGGCTTGGGTTTCTTGATCTCTGTTTTAAATTTTTTGTTTCAGGTTTTTTTGTAACTTCCTCAGGCTTTTTTTGATTTTTGTTTTGGAGTTTCTGTTGCTATCTCAGGTTTTATGATCTCTATCTTAAGCTTTCTGTCACTGCAGCAGGTTCTTTGATCTTTGCTTTAGGTTTTTCGCTATTGTCTTGGGTTCTTTAATCTTTGCTTTAGGTTTTCTATTGTTACTTCAAGTTCATTGATCTCTGCTTCAGTTTTTCTATTGCTGTATTGGGTTTTGATCTCTGCTTTAGGTTTTTTGTTGCTATCTCAGGATTTTTATTGTTGCTTCAAGTTCTTTGTGACTGTTTTCTGGTGTTTGGATCCTTGATCTTACCCTGGTTTTTTGTTTTTGCTTTAGGTTTTTTGTTATTTTATACTTTTTTTTTAATTACTAATTATCATATAATACTTTTAATTATACTGTTTCAGGTCTTTAATTATATTACTGTATTTGGCCTTTAATTACTATATTATGCTCTTAATTACCATATTGTGCTTTAAATCACTATATTATTTTTTTTAATTGCTATGTTCTACCTTTAATTACAATATGATATCTTTATATCTTTAACTACTGTATCATGATTTCGATCATAATTTTTTTTTATTCTAATATGTTTTTAATAAATTATTTACTCAAAAAATTTATTAATTTTATTTGATAAATAGAATTTACGTATAAGTGCTTGAAAAATAAGAATACTGGATTTGAATACTGATAACCACTCTGTGTGTCTAGATTTCAGTTGTTCAACTTTGTTATTAATAAGAGATTACTGATTCTAAAGAAAGGATCAGTTATGTATCTGAAAATAATTACTTATAAGGGTCCAAAACAGAAATTTATTATAACTAATTAGATTGCGATATTTATAATTCTATAAATGCAATTTTCTTTTGATAGTTAAATATATTATTTTTTAATTAGTATTGTATTTATTCTCTTGACATCTTATATGCAAAAATTATAATACCTTTTGTTAATTTCCAAAGTAATTTGGCTTTATTAACACATAGTAATCTTCATAAAATATAATTCATATTTCATGTTTTATAACTAATTTTGGTGCAAAATAAACTTATTTTAGAACTGAATGAATATTAAATATTGATCTTAACTTAGTCAAACTGTACTTTAGTTAAATAAGTTTATTAAGCAAAGGATATAGTATAAATAAATAAAGTAGTATATTTAATATAGCTCAAAGAGCCACTATTGTCATAACGTATAGTTATTTTGATAAAATTTTTTAAAATTTGGGCTTGTAGACATAATTACTTTTACTTTGAACCATTATTTGTAATTATTTTTATTTTTTGGACCCTTATATAAATTTTCCAATAAATATTATTTATTTTTTTTTTT